ACCTTCTGTGAGGAACACTACAAGGAAGCTCTTCTCCTGTACTTAACAGGAGGGAGGACATGAATGAGGTCATCATCTGAACAATGGATCTGCTTCTCCTTCTACTTCCACAAAAAAGAATCACCACTCAGGATAACCACCTGAAAACTCTGCTTCAAGCTGGAGATTTCATGGATGCCTGGAAGCACCTGTACCCCCTTGACAGGGATTACAACAATTATTCTCAACTTCACAGAGTTTTCTCATTAATTTACTTATTTCTGGTTCTTCAGCCTCTTCTCATAAGGGATAGGATAATTATTTTGGATTATACCTAATCTTGCCCCAGTTGTTCTCGCCCTAAAGTAACAACATGCAGGTGAATGCTGACATATCCACTGATGAACTACTCTCCAATATTAAACAATCTCCATTAGGGAAGGCCCCAGGCCTGGATGGTCTTTCCACAAAATGTTATAAACTCCTCAATGAAGAAGTAGCAGACTGTCTACTAACATTGTTTAACCAATTCTACCCTAGAAAGGCAAGGACCCCCTAGATTTTGTCACAAAGCACCCTATTTCTCTGTTGTATCAGGACATGAAGCTTCTAACATTATGGTTAATAGGCTTGCAGGTGTGCTTCCAAAACATCTTTCAACTGATCAATTAGACATTTGATAATGTTAACTGGATCTGGTTACAAAATGTGATGTGGCACACAGGATTTGGCGAATCAGGTCTAGAGTTTATTAATATGCTATATACACCCCCCACAGTCCAGTTCTTCATAACAGTTAATTTAGTTACTGTCTGTATCTATATTGTTATTAATAGATGTCCCTGATGTTTAGTCATGGTATGCAAATGCGTCTCCGTGTTCAGTGCATGAACATGGCAGAGGTGTTAGGAACTGACAGCTTGCAACAGCCAGACCTTGGCGCCTGATGCCCTGCTATTCCATAACTTTGACCTCACCATTAATTTCTAATGTCACACCATGATGGCAATACTTAAACAACAGTGTCCACAAGTACCATTAGGTGAGGCTTTAAGTACAAAATGGAAAAATGTAGGTTAGGCAACACATGTACATGTTTATATCTATCCCCATATTTTTTTGTCTTTTTCTCAGAACTAGGGCTCTGTCAAGAGTGAGGAGTTCCTTACATAGGGAGAATTGATAGTGTACTAATGTAAACATATGAACATATGACCTTTTCTCTTTCATACCAACCTCAATAAACATATTAAACAAACAATTCTAGTTTACACATGCTTTTTTGAAACAATACAGATTAAAATTAAGACATTTAATGAATTAACCTGTAATAAGGAGGGTTGAGTTTCCAAAGTAGCAGAGGCTGTTTGCCTTTGCAAAGTGAATTTTAGTGGATAAAGTAAATACTTTGGAGAGGATTTTTTTTTCTAGCACACATCATAGAGATAGCTTGGGAAACCATCTGATTTTGCCACAGAAATAGTTAGAGAATAAAAAGTATTAAAAATTAATTTTAAAAGAAGGGATTTTTGTGATAAAAATGAAAAGTGTATTGTAGAAGAAATATAAAGTTAGAAGAGGGGAAGATGCAATTTTGGGGTGGGACAATGATGGAGCATGTCAGTAGCAACAAATTATGCTAATGGCCAGACCTCCAAAATATATCTATTTCCTTTAAAGTACATATAAATGTAGATATATTCTGATTTTTAAGGAAAAGCAGTTGGTAATATACTAGGAAGGGAATTTATCAAAACTGGAACAGACAAAATCTGGAGCAGCTGTGCATGGCAACCAATCAGCATCCACCTTTAATTTTCAAAGCTTAACTGAAAAAACTGAAGAGATAAGCTGATTGGTTGCTATGGGCAACTGCTTCAGATTTTGATAAATTCCCTCCTAGGTATTTTGGTTGGAAGGGAGTAGCTAAGAAAACAGCTACAAGTGAGTAGTCTCAATAAAAAATGATGGAATCTGTTCTATGGCTAGCATCAATTTGTATTGTTAGAATGTCAGCTACAGTGACAGTAGTGTCTGTGTTCGTTATCCAGCAACAGAAATGGGCGGCAGATAACTACAGCTTTTTCAGTCATTGTTAATTTTTATGAAGGTCAACCTCTTGTGCTTGTGAGTTATGTGCTTTGGAGTGATGATGCTCCCTGCTGTGCTAATACTTTTATGAGAGGGATGATGCAGGCTCTAAAAAATGTATTTCATATGTGTATTTAGCGGTTCATCTTACAATCAACAAATTGGATCATGTGACCCAGGTGGCATTTTTATATATATATATATATATATATATATATGGCACACAGTACTGATATGCTCATGCAAAATGTTTCACACATATGCAAGCTTCCTGTTTATTATACACACTATATAATCTTCACAGAAAGCAAACATTTTCAATAACTTGTTTCTAATGATACTTTAAGAAACTGTTTTCTACTATTATTGTGCTTCTTTTGTAACATAGCACCCAATCTTACTGAAACAAGCTATACACACAAGCAAACAAGCATACACTGACTAACCACAGCCATTTATGATCTGTGTACACATCCATTGTCACTTCAAAGAGCTTTGATAACAAATATATTGGAAGAGGGATGAGTCTGGAATAAAATATGAGCTGTTTTATAAATACTGTTGCATATATATATCAAATTACCCGAAGTTGAACAGAGACACTGAGTGCATCAGTGATGAAAGTGACAGTCTATCCCAAAATGATGAAGCAATTTTTCACATATTACAGCATTTATCACCAATCAGTTATGTATTCAAATTGAATTTACTGCTTGTCAGCTAGGTTAGCATGATAAATTATTTTCTGTGTGGAGTACTATCACTTTCAAGTATAAAGCTATGCATTAAACACTAAATAAAAAACCCTATTTGAAGAAAATAACATCTCTTCCCAAGTCTTATTCCCCAAAGTAATTGCAAGAAGAGTAGTTTATGACTGCCTTTATTACTTTTATTATTTAAATAAATGTTTTGATATTGTGGTATAAAGTCTTGAAGTAAAAAAAAAATATATTTAATTTTCTCTACAGTCCATTGGATTATACTGCATAGTTGAAATAAAAATAATGCCTTTTTAGATTAGTTTAACTTTTTTTCTCTAATGATAAACATCCAAGAAGAAATGGTGACAATAATATGCAATAGCACTGAGAGTGGAATGGGAAATATAGACAGTGGGGCCAGATGTATCTAAATTCATACAGTTTTGTATATCAATGAAGCTTGCAGAACTAAGCTTTTGGTGATGTCTTTTTTATTATTAGGTATTTCCCTTTGACCTTTCTTTCTTTTAGAATATATATATA